TAGTAAACACTTAGAATTGACAATTGAGTAGTATTCTACATTGAAAGACCACTAAAACATTAGAAGAGAAGTACTATTTAAAAATGTAATTTCTCACATAGGAATATTATTAAAACATTCTAAGAGAAATCTTCTTTAAAAAGAACTAAAGGAGCATCACTTCGATAAAAAATTGATTTGGGCCTTCTAGTATATTAGGTGAGCTCGTCAAGATAGTTAAAATATTTTTTTTTGGGAAAAAATTGGTGGAAAAGCACTTGTCAAGAAGTATCAACTTCATTTTATCCCTTCACTCTCTCTCAGGTTATTGCATCCACGGCCAAGCACTTGTCAAAGAAGGAAAGGTAGTTTAAACAATTCCCGATCATGAGAGAATCGTATGCATTCATCATGGCTGGTTTCAATGCAAGAACGTGATTTATGTTGGAATGCCTTTCATAGTCTGTATCAGTATTCCGCATCTTTTGTGAACAGAATCAGTAGCTTTTGAATAAGAGCCGCTTAAGCACAGAAGCTGAAAACACTTCACTTCCCAAGTAGACGTTCACTTCATTTTTTTAAGGTAGACATTTAAGTATGGACATATTCACCTCAGTATTCTGCATCTTTTTGCTAGTTATACGATGTACAAATTATTATTATTATTATTATTATTTATTTATTTTCACAACCATTGCAAAATTTATAACCGAGATTGTTTTCATATTTGGGATACCAAATAGATATATTAAAACGAAATTATAAATTCAACTTTAGATATCATGAGTGTGTAATCCATTTTGTTTCGCAAACACTGTTTGGAATTGTTATAAAACTGAAACAAGAGCTAGAAGCCAAGGTGCGCGAAGATGTCACTCGGAATAATGACGACTTTCTCCAAATAGCCCAGTTCTATGAGTTGAATAAGCTAAGTTTTTCGAGGCAAAAAAAAAAAAAAAATGGTTCCTCTGCTCTCTAACCTGTAAGTCCATCAAAATCCTGCACAGACAACATCTTTTTGTCAAAGAAGGTGCGTTATCATAATGGACGACGCGCTACAATTTATCAGTTAATTTATCTACAAACAATTCTCAAATAAAAACAGGGGAACAAACGCGATGTCATAATACAGTTGGGGTCTTTTAAAAGATGCACATCATTGTATGTTATGCACAACTCGATGAAATACGTACACACATCGAGTGCTTTTGCATAACATTGCTGAGTAAGATTACAATTTTCAATTTTTACCATATAAATTTGTTGTCAAGAGGTGAACCTGGCTGTACAAACAGGAACAACCTAATATTACTTGGGCGATATGCAGAACACTACTTGTAGGGGCGGGCCAGCCACAGCCCAGCCTAGGACTGAATCGTGCTAGCCACCTGGACCTGGATGGCACCACCCCTTTTTACACCCGTACTTGTAGTATCAACTTTTCTTTGACGTCACATTGGAATGGGGAACAAATTCTGTAAGTGGAAGCAAAACTACTCAAAAACTCTTTTGTTATTAAATTAACTAAATACACGGGAAATTTTGTATAACCAGTGACAAAAAAATGCGGTTAAAATGAACAAGTGAATCACCCAATCTCTAAAATGTAGGGGTTATGTGAAAGAGAGTGAATAGAGATTTAACAAGCTAACCTGCTCCGTGCAGATGTCTCTCACTGTTTTCTCCAATGATATCTTTTAACTTTTGCAGCCAGTTCACATATTGACCTTGCTCCTTTCTGTGTAGATAGAGGAGGAGGAAGTTGATGAAGTCTTCACCAATTCCCCTGGTTGCAAGATATTGCTTCAGCTCATGTTGCAAATCCGGGTCCAAGGAACTGCAAAAGGTACGCAACTGAGGAATTAAAACAGAATATAACATATTAACATGGAATAACGGATGAAAGTCGTATCCAAAATTTCATCCCAGAGGAAAATAAGATATAAGATTATGGGAAACAAAAGAAGGTAAATCAATTTGTATAGATTAATTCAGAATACTTTATGGCCTCTGATTAATAGTACACGGGACAATTATGCTCAACTTGGTTTCAACGGTCAATATCCAACCATGATAATGACATGATGCCATGGGCTACTTCAAATTGACAACAATGTGAATCCATCTTTTATTACATTTTAATTGTCTGTAGACCAACTCGCACCTTCAATCTTCTTACATAGCAGGACGTAGAACATGTTTGCTAAGCTCATAAATAAGTAAAAGTTAACTATTACTTTCAAACAAGTTGGGATAACTTAACCTTAAAATCAGAATAAGTAATTATTTTATTATTTTGATTAGGAATAGGAAACTTAATTATTTTAAAAATTAATAGGAAACTTATTTATTTTAAAGCTTACTTATTTCCTAAGAAATTATCTTTTTAAGACTAGCTAAACGTGCTCACATTGTTACCCACCCTCAGAAAAGAAAAAAGTCTAACGTTTGTGGGTTTTCAGTTTGGCAAATCAAAGTGGTGCCCCAACTCCCAGTTTGTTGTAATTGCAATACACAGATAACAAGATCAATCAAGATCTATATTATGAAAATATATTCCTCAAAAACCAAAAAAAATAAAAATAATAATAAATAAATAAATAAATAAATAAATATGTGAAGAGGTTATATAAAGCACCTGAATGGGGGACCTTTATAGAATGAAGAATCCAGGCTTGATGGCGAATGCATGTAATTGGCATTCTGAATGTCAAACTCAGATTCATTACCACCTTTCCTAGATGCTACGCAATCAAACTGCAAGAGGGAGTTCAACCCAGGCTTCTTAACACATATTTTTACCAAAGCTTCCCTGGGAAAGCTACCATCTCCTTGGAACGTGTCACCGCCCAATAAAGCTGAAATAGCTACTTCCTCCCCAGATGCACATTTCTTCCGTAAAACCACATCTTGGGACTTTGGAGAATCCCATTCCAGAACAAAATCTTCTGGGGAACCACTTTCACCTGTCTGCTTAGATATCAACAGTTGATCTTAAAAATTGAACTAAACTCTCTTAGGGAAGGAATGAAAACTCTACTTCAACATGTCAACCACTTCAAAGGGACTATAATATAGATTCATAGAATGACACCCACATTATAGTGACTATGGAATATAGATGTTTAGAAAGATCAAAATAAAAAAGATGTCATAGAAACTATACAAATTACAATTATGCGTTCAGTGTGATGCAGAGCATTTGAAGTGAGTGATAACATATTCACAAGAACAAATCTCCTTATCCGAATATGCTGTTTTACTTCAGTTTGGCAGGGATTTTTGAGATTTTCCGGTGTAAACAAAAAAAGTATTCACGTTTGCTTATATTTCCGGGAGGAACTTATGATGAAGGCAATGTGCCAGAAATGACTTCACAGAAAATGTGTTCGCCATTCATCTTCAATACTCTAGATGGGAAAAATTCATTAGACAAGTCTATAGTAGAATCAAGAATGGAAAGTTTTACATCCTTCAGTTCAATATGCTGACTCTTTCATATTGCTTGGCAAGTCGAAAGGGTGAGATACACACAAGTGTTTCTGTAAATTCCATAAGGTGCAGGCAACTTTGAAAAATCTTTTAAGCAAGCCAAAGTCAAAGAAGAATGTTTAGTTAATTCAGTGCTAAGGTGGAAGCACTTCTAAAATAAAATCTTACCAGAGCTAAATGTTTTCTAGATTTTTTTTTGCTTTACTAGACCGATTTCTCTTTACCTAAATCTACATTAAACTTGGGGTTATCTTTTCCACTTTTCAGTCCCAAGCACTAGAATGCCTTGTAACATGTTTTGAGTATTTATTGGACTGCATTGGGCAGAATTAAGGTTGCAAGACAAAGTTAAATCTTAGCTACTTTCTTGTGCAGTATCCTCCAAATTCCACATATCAAACATGCCCTTTGTTTAGGTTGTACCATTTGTTGTCATTATTAAAGTTCCTAGGTAGATAATGATTCTAAACAAAATCATGTAACCTATCAATTCTTCCACAAACTTTTCCATTTTTCACAGAAATTACAAGCATTAAAACGCTTGAAAATACCGTCATGCCAAGTGCATTGTGCTAAAGTATTGTACCTTGCTGAGGCACCATCAATTCCCAATTCGAATGGGGAAAATCTATTCCGATCGAATGGAATTAACAGATGGTTTTTTTTTTAACCTAAAAAGCACCGTTTGATCCCATGTTCTATATAAACCGCATATAATTGCAAATAATATATGTAAATATATACCTGGAAGCGATGGGAAGAGAGTTCGTGGTTGATTTCCGATTGCAGAACTTTGAGCAAATCCAATTCTTCAATGGCTTTATGAGCTCTGCGCAGTATTGGGGTTACTCTTGGCATAATTTCTTCTTGACAGTCTATATCGGGTCCGGTAAAATTGATTCAATGGTCGTTCGAGTGGAGACTTGTATTCGCTTTGGTTCGTGTTTGGCTATGCTTAAATGATTAGGTTACTTATAAGTCTTCACAAAATCTTCCTTGTTTGCAACTCAAATTTATTGGCATCTTGGATACACATATTTAAATATGTCAAGAGTGAAAAATGTAACATAAAGATAAATTTAACTTTCGAGTGATTAAGGAGCTTTTCAAACATTTTTCTTTATTATTACATTTTAAATTTTTTTCTAGTTACCCCTATACTTACCTAAGTATTATCCCACTCTTCAATCTATCGCTATTTAAAAGTAAATAGATTAGCTGAAATGATAAGTTACAACGAAGGTCACGTGGATTTTCAACAAAAAGGCACAGCTAATCCACAGGGATCAATTGCTTGTCTAGTATTTGTTACATTACATCTAGACATGGATCTAACTTCAAAGATTAGACGAATTAGAAGCTAAAATTAGCAATGAACCACAAACTGTTTAGAAAAGACATCTTAAATTTGCTATTAGGCTTGTAAACATGGAACATTGCTCACTTCACTTTGTCTGATAGTAAACAAAAATTTCACTACTGGAATTTTTGTCTTCTCATAACCACCAAAGTGGGGCCAATACTGGCACAGTCAGCATTTTGTACAGAGTTACACACACACACACACACACACATATCCAACCCTCAACGTGCTGCAACAACCACGACATGCTACAAGCTTCTAGCAATCTTTTCATAAAAATCACGAGGCCAGTTCCTAGTCAAATTCTTCACGAGAAAGTTGGCAATTTGCAAAATAAGGAAAATTCGATCATGCCGACATGGGATTACAAAAATAGTAGAGAAAATATTAGAATCCAAAAAGGAAAAACGATAGAAGATAATCAAAGCAAATGCACCACAACAGAAAAATTGAATTAGACGAATTATCAACATAAGCTTTAAACATACCTTAGCCCTTGTTGACATTGGAAAATGAACATCCACGTGACCAACAGAAAGTATCTTTATGTATATTCCTCCCTGACACTTGGCACAAACGATCAATCGCTCGTGGCCACTTCCAGCGGTAGTGTTGCGGCCACGAACACTCTGACAATCAAATTAGTCGACGATAATAGCACACAACTAATTTTAGTAGCAGGAACTGTCGAATTTCTATATTATCTCAAAAGGGGAGGAGAAAAAATGAATTCTTAATAGTAAGTTACTTTACCTTACAAAGGCATAGAGCACAAGTATTTATAGAGAAAAAGGTAAAAGAAGAACCGTTGGATGAAAAACATATGGCTTCATCTGCTAGTTTGAAGCGTCTCTTAATAGACGTCCATCTATCACTCCTTAGGTGGGCACGAATTTAATGTTTCTGGATTCGAATTGACACATTAGTGTTTGCTTTAGAGATGCCCAATCCATCATTCATAAGATTTCATTTTAGACAAATCTTTGCCTAAAAGATTCGCATCTTATGCCGAAGCATTGGCTGCCCACCGGCAAGTGTGTCTTCTAGCCATGCGGCTTGGCTTTGTTCATACAGACGCTATCTACTTCGGATATTCGCCTCGTACTATGTTGCTATATTGCTTAGGCCCTTTGGCATCTCGGAGTGTGGGCCTATTTTGATGACCTGGCGACTTGTTATCAGAGGCTTAATAGCCCTCAAGGCATGAAGCAATCCATCTGTATCAGAACCATTGTCCAAACAATGAAGAGCAACTTTGAGAAGGTTTGGCACACACGCCTGGACACGTGGCGACAAATGATTGAAGATACCAGTGGAAAAATCTGGTGCCACTGTATCTAAAGGAAGAAACAGGAGTTTGGCAACTTCCCTCGACGCATCTATCTGATTTCCCGTATTTGCCAGCTTATGGATTGATAAGATTGCCTCGAGTCTGAGCACAATTTGCTGCTTTACAACATTAGCTCTCTCCTGAAGACTGCATAATTAAATTAATAAAAGCAGAAAATCAAATAGAGGAAATTTTCAAATAGTGAAATACTTTAACCAGTATAATGTAAAATACAAATCGCCAAAACAGTGCTCATAAAAAAATAAATGTTCCTATACATATTATATTAGAAATTCAATGTAATGTATTCTAGACAATCATAGATTACAACACGTGTGCATGAATGAGGTAGGATGTAAAATAGCAGAAAAAGAAAGCCTGAATTTCGAAAGCTAGTTAGACATAACTGAAGATATCAATTTGAGCACAGCATAACGTCAACACTACTTCTATAGGTTTTAGAAACATCATAAACAACAATTTCAGACGAACCTCTAGGAAACTTTTGCATTAATGCAACACCCCCACCCTACCCCATCTTACCCCCAACTTCTTCCTTGATTATTCTTTAAAACTAATAAACCTCCTCACAATTATGGAACAAAATATTCAAAGCGAGCTGTTATTACTGTTAAGTTCAGTTCACAACATTGACTCAAAACATTTTAGTTTTCTGACTAATTAACTGCCATGTGGTTTATAAAGTTGTCTAATTGCACCCTTTTGTCCAAAGGTTTGCTTTGTTATTTACCCCTTTGGAAGAGTCGGGTTACCAAGTTAATCAGAGTGGATTTACGACAGGAATTAGCCAGTTGCATTGTGTTAGGCCTCCCGTCCACTTCACCTATTCTAGAAGACTCAAGAAGGGGGGAATCATCTGGAACGAAGGTTAACTAAATTCTGTTTAGGAGTATGTGGGGAGGGGAATAAGTTTGTTAGAAATAGGTTATAAATAGAGGGCTTAAGGTAGATGATAGTCAGGCAATTATTGAGTAAGGCATAGGAGTCTTGTATTCGTCTATTTACTTGTAATTTCTGCAGTATATTTCAGTCAATTTCCATTTCAGATTCAGTCTTCTTTTTGGAATCCTAACAAATTGGTATCAGAGTAACAAAATCCTGATGGCCCAAAAAAAAACCGATGGAAGGGTAGAAGCAATGGAGAAAGAAATCGAAGAATTGAAGGGTGAGATGCGGCAGCTCCCAGGGTTAGCAAAATCTGTAGAACAGTTAACACAAAGCATGGCCATGGTACTGCAATCCATGGAGGAAACTAGGAGGATAGTGGTAAATCCAAAAGCTGGAAAAGGCAGAAATATGGAGAAGGAAGGATCCAGCAATGTTACCGAAGCATCACTACCACCAAGTAACCCTCCGGCAAGCAGGGGCGAACAACGCAGCCTGGAGCATGGCAAATGGCCGGAGGGAACGGGCGAGGCGAGTTTCGGCGGAAGCTTGGACAGAGGTGAAAATTGGCGAAGCATTCGTAAACTCGAGACGCCTATTTTCAGCGGAGTAGACCCGGACGGATGGTTATCCAGGGCTGAAAGATATTTTGACACTAATGGATTAACCCAGCAGGAGAAACTGGAGGCTATAGGGGTGAGCCTTGACGGCGACGCACTTTTCTGGTTTCAATGGACGGAGGCTCGAGCTCCGTTTCAAAATTGGTGACAGTTCAGACAGTAGCTGTTGCTGCGTTTCCAGCCGACGCAGGAGGGAAGCATGCGTGAAAGGTTTCTGTCGATCAAACAAAGGGACACGGTGGCTGAGTTCTGGTGGGAGTTCGAACTCTTGGTTGCCCCACTGAAGGAGATACCAGACGAAGTCTGTTCACGAAATATTCCTTTTCGATTTTAAAACCCACCGCAAGTGTACGGTTCGTTAACAAGTAGTAAAATGGATTATGAGTCCAAGTATCGTTCCCATGAGGATTGAATTAGCTCTAATTAGACTAATGTAACCTTAACCGAATCTAATTGAATGAAAATTTGGTTTAAATGTGAAAAACCCTAATTCTGGAAGAAATCCCCAATTTGAAACCCTAATTGCAAAGAAAACCCTAATTTCGAAATTGGAAACCCTAATTTCGAAATTTCACTAATCGAATTAAATAAACACGCAATTGAAATGTAAATATGCAATTTTATCACAAATATATTGAAATGAATCGAAATGAAATCATTAAGAACTTGAATCCCCAATTGACTATTAAAAACCCTAATTTCACAAATTCAACGAATCGATGGAACAAAATGCCAATTCAATGTTCCTAAATTATCCAATACACTCTCTCGATATATATTGAATCTACTCTTACACACCACCAGCCTATATTTCTATGGATGATGCAATGTACAAGAATGCATGACTTTTTATGAACATCTTCATGAATTGCATAAAGCATAGAGGTAAGTTTCCATCCCCTATCGGACCCTATGTCAATTTATATTCTATCGAATTTATTTCCCTTCTTTCGAATGCAAAGAACAAATCATCTACAATCACATAACAATTGGCCAAATAATTATGGAAGCATTCAAATCATATAAATCAAACATTTGTCCAACGAAACTATTGTTGAATTAATGAAATAATGGAAATTTAAATCATCAAAAGGTTC